GTGCAGCGGCCTCCGCCGCCTTCCGAGCGCTGTGTGCGTGCGTGTGGTGTCCGCCCCCCCCGCCCCGGGGTGTGGCGAGCGAGGGGGCGCTGGCTCCCGTAACCGCTGCTTGTACCTTTCAGCCTGAATTTTAAGGACCCCGAGGCGGTGAGAGCTCTGACGTGCACGCTCCTGAAGGAGGATTTTGGGCTTACGATTGACATCCCCGTGGAAAGACTTATTCCTACCGTTCCCTTGAGGCTGAACTACATCCACTGGGTGGAGGATCTCATTGGTCACCAGGATGCTGACAAGCAAGTCCTTAGGCGAGGCATTGACATAGGTACTTGGAAAAGCAAAACGTCCGGCTCGTTATTTATTGCCAGTGAAGCTAACTGGTAAAATTTGTTATGTGTCCATAGAGAAACATGAAGTTGGAGAAACAAAACAAAACAAAACAATCTCTGCTCGCCACAGTGAAACGGGCGCTCTGACTCCACTGGTATTTTCATTTGGCTTCTTGGTCTCTGCACAAACACAGGAATGACTGTAGCAGGGCAGTTATTTGGCTTTTCGTGGCCTTGAACTCTCTTGAGTGTAGCATTGTGCAGTATACAAAAATTATGCTGCTAGTAATGCAGGCAGAAGTGTCGCTCTAAAGGAATTAAAAAAAAAAAAAAAAAGGCATTTCTTCCCAATCTTCTAACTAGTGAATTATGTTACGTACCAATATTTTCTAGCTTCTTTTAACAAAATTTTTTCTGTGGTGTCAGGTGTATTTGACAGATGAATGATTTGTCTTTTTTTAAACTGTTGATTTATCTAAATGCAGATATTTTCATGAGCTAAATTCTAAAAGAGGTTTAATTAGAAACCAAGGCAAATACTAGTAAAGCTGCCTTTTAGTTGTAGGTGGTCAAAGATTTCCTGTATAGTGTTGAAAACAATATTTTTTAAACTGGACTAAGCATCCAGCGATGGACAATATCGTCGAGTGCGTGTGTCTAGGAGCATTGCAGCTTGTTCAGTTTCAATATCTGGATTATTGGATAATATCTGGATTAAGCAGTAGATTAATATAAATGGTTATTCAGTAGAGATGTGAGTTTATAAGATGTACACCTATGCACGTAAATTGGTTTTCATTAGAAATGAAAAAGGTAGTCTTTGTAGGAGCAAAGCACTATATTCGCATACAGGTAATAAAATTGTCATTTGGATTCCAAATTTTTGGTGAATCTATGTGAATTTTTTTAAAAAGTACCTGCAATGGTATATTTGAATTTAGTTCACCTCTTTTATTTTTGTCAATGGAATCTTCCTTTATGATTTCAAAGGCTTGTTTTTGAAGATTTTTTTTGTGCTGAAGTAAACTCATAATGAAATTCACAGAAGCTGGAATTTCCTTTTTAACTTAAGTTTTAATGCTTGACATCAAAATGCTAAAGTTACTGACTTCCTCAAAGTTTGGGTTCAGTAATCTCAGTTACCATGCCAATTTTTATATGAATATTTTCTTGGCATTTGCTAGCATGATTTTTCTTTTTAATGGAATTTTTTAATTCCTGAAATTTACTGACTTGCATTTTTAGCTGGATTTGTGATGGATACAAGGTTTATATCATCACATGGTGTGCACACAGCTGCTTTCCTTTAATAACTTTTAAACTTGTTAGCCAGCTTCTGCGCATTTGCTACTAGGTTGCATTTTCCAAAGCAGTTTCTATGAACTTCATTATGGTGGGCGGCTCAGTAGAAGAGGCAAAACCTTTAAGTCCTTCCAATATTGGACAATCTACAATATTATTGAAAAAAACTTTGATGTTCCAACTCTGGGAAAGCATTAAGTCATCCAAGAGGGACGTTACGGGAGTACTGGAAACACCTGCATGCTTTTGCTTACTGACAGACATTGCTATTTGTGTTTCAATAAGTCAGTATAACGGTAGACTCGCAACATGTCTCTGTGAACTCAAGTTTTGTGCTGGTGAGGTATTTTTCCCTTTTCTTGTATCCATTCACTTTAATCCTAAATTTGACTGTCATTGGTAATGGGATCACCTAGATATACCGTAATTATGAGAAGGAATAATTTTGCCCTAGCATATGTTTCTCTCTGTAACCAAGTTTTTATCTGTTTGGCCATCTTTTTAGATATCTTAACTGGCACCCCTGTTTCTTTGGTTGTTTTGGCCATTAGGGAAAAACAGCCTGATGGAACAGAAATGTAATTTTTTTTTTTGTGGTTGCTGTATGTATCAAAGTAAATTATTTGTGGTAGAAAATAGAAAAATGCAGAAGAAAAATATATTTGTGATAGTTTATTTTTAGTAAAAACAGAATATATTTGGCTTTCACTATATAAATTAATCACTGTCGTATAGAAGAAAATAGCTTAAAAATAACTTGCTAATTTACTAGAAAATTTATTCCAGATTATTATTCTAAATGCATAGATGCATAAAAATGCATTAATAATTATTAAAAATGTGTTTGCTTTTAAAAATTGTTTTAAAATGTGTTTGCTATTAAAAATTTGTTTTGCTTTTCTCATGGTTTTTCGCTTCTGCAGGGACAGGGGCATCTTGCATATACCCATTACTTGGAGCAACTTTGAACGGCTGGTATTTTCTTGCAACAGAAGTGGATGATATGTGCTTCAATTATGCCAAGAAGAATGTGGAACAGAATAACTTGTCTGATCTTATAAAAGGTATGACATAATAAGTTATTTAGTAGCGTACAAGTGTTGTGGTGTATTTTTGCCGTGTTCAGTGGAATATCAGAATCCGAATACCTGCCAAATACTTGCTCAATTGTTTTTACTGAAGCAGAGTGTTTACTAAGGTCTGCATATGCTTAAGCCAGGAGTCACAGTTTGTCTAGAATGGGATGTGTGGATAGAAAACTGCTCATCCTTACAAAAATCTGAAAGTTAAACTTCACCCTGGGGAGTTTTCCTCCCTCCATATTTTTTTGTCTGTTACTGAAGTACTTCGTAAGAGTTCGTGCTTCTTCCTGCTCCTAGGAGACCTGGAGTGCATCCCTTAGATAATTTGTACGATACTGCCAAATATATGTATCTTGTACAGAGAGAGTCCTTTGTCCTCACTTCTAAATTGGGTCCTGACAGTCCTTGTGGTAGTAGCAGTATGCCAGACTGGTTCCGTGGATGAGCTTGGAAGATTTTCTGAGGGAACTCGGTACACTAAGAAGCAGGTCCATTATTCAGCTCTGAAATAAAAACTTTACTTCTGCTGGGTCTTGGAAGTATCCTGTTTGCCAAAATGTTGTTGTCTTGGTCTGTCCTCCATGTCAGTTTTGATGATCCAGAACTTGATGTGGAGGACAATGACAGTTTTCCGTTACTACTGCCATTATAGGATTTTTAGTGGTGTGGTGGTGTTTCACTGTGCTGAAAAAACCTCTGGCAAAGGAAAATGCCTCATGTGAAGCTGTCATGCCAAAGGTGATAAGCTGGAGTAAATGACTGATTGCTGGTGGGCAGAGCTGCGGGCAAGGGAGTAGCACTGGTGGTACCTGTAGCCAGATGCTGCCTGGGAATGATCTGCCCTGCCACTTTTTAACTCCCAGGCCTGAATTGTTTAGCTGAGTATACTGCTGTAGCTAGTAAGTTGTTTAGCAAGGCATTTTGGAGTCAGATTAGAAAGCTTTCTGTACCTCTGTTTTTTTTAAAAAACAAAAACCCCACAAACAAACCACGATTTTTGTCACGTTCTAAGAATCTGTCTTAAATTTTTGCCAAATAGTTTCATTTGGAGATCATGTTGGAATATAGCCTTTGTTCTTCCAACTCCAATGGAAAAAAAAAAAATAATTCAGTGATAGTAAAAACAGCAGTAATGTGGCAATGAATTACTAATTGCATCATAGCTTCTTCCTTCCCAGAGGAAAAATGCTTTTTGGTTGAAAGTGAAATACTGTCCGCAGTAACTTTCTTCCAAAGAGAATCGATCATATATGTGCAAAACAGAAACTGATAAACCTGGGGATTGATTGTAAATGCCAAAAAAAATTACACAGTGTTCTGAGTTGTGCATCTGTTTTACTGGATTGGGATAATGGCCAGAATTTGTCTGCTGGTGATTTAAAAAAAAAAACAAAAAAAAAACCCAGTACTTTGTATGCAGTGGTAGTTTAAGAGATTTTCAACAACTTGGATTATAGAAGTTTTCAAACTACTTGCAAGATAATTTAGGATTGCTCTGTGACATTATTATTATATTGTTTGCTTCCTGTTTCTTTTATTTGCTTTCTTATTTCCAAATAAAATCACATACTGTCAGTTAAACAGCTTGCTATGTAGGTGGAATGTGGTTTAAGTGCTGTATCATTTAACAAGTTCTTTGATGTCATCTTCTAAGTAACTTCACAGTAATTTTAGAAAGTATGTACCATGTATTACTGCTCAGATTAACAATCTCTTTGCAGAGTTCTGCTCATGTTAGCCCCATTGCCTGCCTTCTCTACTGTAAAAACTAAAAAACTAACTCTGTTTTTTCTTTTTTTTTTTTTTTTCCTTTTTCCTCCTTTATAGAATTGGAAAAGGTATTGCTAACAAGAAAGGCAGTAGAATACTCTGAGCTGGATATTTCAAATGTCTTCTCTCTGTAAATGTCTTCTCTGTGTGCAACAGCAACTGCTATGTTACACCTCAGTGCCAGAAGTATGCACTGTGCAGCTTCTGGAGACGTTTTGTGATTTCTTGAAAGACTGTAACCTGAAAAACATCAGTCCAACTGATATAATACCTGTCTAAAGAACTTTTGGCTTTGACTGTGATGTGTAATTGTAATTAGTAATTACTAATTTTATTAGTTTACCATTTTTAATGTTACAAGGGGAGCAGGGGGACAGACATCTACAGAGATAAGAAAGCGTCACACTTCTATGTCAGCAATTGTAAATATGAACAACTTAATATTAGGAGAAATGCTGAGTGTTTAGAAACTTAGGATTATAAAACAGGGAACAATGTGCTAATATATTTTTAAAATGAACTCTCCTTCTATTCTCATAGATTTAAAATTTGTTTATCTCTTGACTATAGATTTATGTACTGGAAATCCTTGTGACTTACAGAACTGCAGTTTAAAGTTAGTGGGTGTTCTAGGTCTTATTCTTGCTATATATAACCTGAACTTTGGTAATTGTCTGCTACCCTAACAATTTTGTATTCTTAGGATGATGATAAGCTGTAGTAGTAAATCTTAGGAAGAGAGGCATGCCTTCTGCCTCCATTCTAAATATCTTTGTTCTATGTGCGTTATCCATGAGTTGCAGGTCTGGTAAAGTCTGCAAGAAGTCCTGCTTGTAATAATCTTTATACATGGTTTAACTGGACTTCATCCATATTTAAATTCCTGCTCCTTGGGCTGGAGTTCCTGCTGTCTTCAGAAGATGGGTGACAGGACTTGACCACAATTTCCAAGGGAATTATATAGCCTTTGGGGAAAGACAGTGGCGATCTGAGTCGGGTGTTTGCCTTCATCCTTGTGATGGGTAATAAATTGGTGGACCCTAGTAAGCAGGTTTGTCCAGAAAGGAATTACAATATTTTTCTTCCATTGTGATTCTTCTAAATCATATAAGGCTTCAGTTCCTGTGCAGGATGCGTTGTACTGTTAACAGAGTAATTTCTGTTTTATTATAAGATTAGATGTAAAGCTAATTTTGGGGCTGTGTAACTTCAGTGAAGATAGCTTTGTTTTAGTCTTTCTTAGCTTTACGCTCTAGAAAGACCAAACAGTACATTTTCTTGAGTACAACTCTAGAGTTCCCTAGCTGAAAAAAAGTTATTTAGACTGGGATTTATTTTATCTCTGGGGAGCCTGTGGGGTGGTTAACTGATGCTTGTGTTAATTTTTGGAAGGGCTTAAAGTGAATTTGTAGTTGCATCAGGAAACTCAGTACTGAAGCAGTTCCTATTGTTTTAAACAGATGCGTGTAATTCTACTCCTGTGTATAAACATACAAGCTAATCCTTAACCTGAAGTCTTTTTTTGTGTACTGATATTTGTTACCTTTTTTTGTAGAAGGTATTGTTTAGAAAGTATAGTTTTTATACAACATATTGTTTCAAGTAACACTGAAACGTAAATGGCATGCTAGATAAAATGAAGTTACTTACTGACCAAATTCCTGTTTTCTGTTAGTGGTTAAGGTACCACAGAAAACTCTACTAATGGATGCACTGAAAGAAGAATCTGAGATCGTTTATGATTTCTGCATGTGCAACCCCCCCTTTTTTGCCAACCAATTGGAAGCGAAGGTAAGATAACAAACTAAATGTTGCATGTACTTTAGTGAGTGGGAAGGTAGCAACAATTTAACCTCTTCCCTTGGGGAAGGTTGAGTGCAAAATCCCAAATTCTTAGGAAATCTCCTTTAAGTCTTCTCCTTCCCCATTCTCTGCCCCAAAGGAGTTTTGAAAGACTTAACTGTTACCCTTCCTAAAGTGGAGAATGACCCATAGAATTTTTTCACAAGTTCTTCCTGTCTTAGAGAATTGGTTTGGAAAATAGGCAGCTAGTAAATCTGAAATCAAGCGCCTGTCGCATAACAGTGGTACAGAGGAATTAGTTTCTGGCATTGTGCCTGTCTGTATTTTTTGTTTCCTTAGTGATTTAGGCAATATCATACAGCTCAGAACAGTTCTTGCAATACCCACTGAATATAGTCAGAAACTTAACTCAGAAACAGGGCAGTAGAAAAGAGGTTTAAGTGTTGAAATTACACACTATAGATTATAATTGTGTAGATGCATGTAATCAGCATGTCTTAAATATATTGGAACCATGTATTTCATATTAGCAGCGTACTGATGTCTGACAAGTAACTTAGGTAAGTTTGAGATTGCAGGGAATTCACTCAGTTATGCTTATTTCGAATCTTTGTCTATTATCCACGGTTCTGATGGGGGGAGTGTAACTGGAGGTGGTGACACTTGCTACCCACTAAAGATTGATGCAGGAAGCAGTGTACATATCAGTCCAAGATTTCATTAAGTGTTCATCTTAAATGTTCTTTTTTATCCAGGGAGTAAATTCTCGAAATCCACGGCGTCCCCCTCCCAGTTCTGTAAATACAGGAGGGATCACAGAAATCATGGCTGAGGGGGGAGAACTAGAATTTGTCAAAAGAATTATTCATGATAGTCTACAACTTAAAAAGAGGTTAAGGTAAGTGCTCTGTCCAGTTAAAAAACCAAACAAACCACTTTTTATCTGCTGCTTCAGTAGAAATCATGTGAAACTAATATTTTAAATATGGAAGGTGGCTGTGATCCAGTGGTATCTGTTTGGTTTGTTTAATGATACATACACATCAGTAATTAGTTTCAGTTTATGTAAAATTAATTGTTCCTGAGCATCAATTACAACTTATCATTGGAGGTAATTAAAGGCAGAAGGCAAAAAAAGCCTATGCCAGTGACACTTGTTGCTTGCAGCTGAATTAGCACACGTAACTTCCTAAAGACAGTCAGTATTGATTCTTAAGAGCATCTGGGATGGGAGGATTTATGACATTGCCTAGTTACCTGGTTTAGGTAGTTTCTCTCTCTTCTTGGCTGCATTTCGGTAACTTGCAGCTCTGCCTACGAAAGGGCACTGTTGTACTGAATGCTGTCTTGGGTGAACATAAGCTGCAACAAAAACCATAGCGAGATCTTCTTTTGAATGTGATAAACAGATGGCACATCTTCATTTTTTTTTTTTGACTGTCAGACTTACCCTCCCCCAGTGCTGTACACTATTCCTCTGGCTCTTCTAGAAGATTCCTTCAGGGTGGTTTGTTTTTTTTTTGTTTGTTTGTTTTGTTTTTTTAAATATCCTTCTAAAATATATCTGCCAAAATATTATGTGTGTATTACCACAGCTTCACCAGTGCCCTAAGCAAACAAAATACAGCCTGCCTTTTATACATTCAAGAAGTGTTTTGGTTTTGTTTTTTCTTTTGTTTAGACCCTTCTAGGCAGAGCACTGCATTATAATTTCATCTTCATCTATCCAATACAAAAGTTTTTCTTTAGAATGTTTGTTTTCTATTAATGGGCCTGAAAATGAATATATTCAGTTTTCTTTTTTTTTTTTTTTATTTAATGTCCTTCCTTTCTCTGTCACCCCTGAAATCTTATAAAAATATAGCACGGAGATACATCAGAGTGATAAAATAGAGGTTTTGATGTTCAAAAGTGATTACAAGTCAGAAGAATTAAACTTTTAAGAATGTTAGCAGTCTTTTTTTTTTGTGCCAGCAAGGACACTGAAAAATGACTGGTATTCCTGTTAAAATTTGTAGCTAGAATGTTACTTTAGGCTACTTGATGTAGACAAGCTTTTAAGTGTGTATGTTCTTACTCGTATCTGAAATAAATGCAATGATTTTTCAAAACTAAATATAAGCTGAAACAGTTGTTCTGAATTTAGTCAGTGGTACAATGGGTGAGGGAAGACAGGCCAGAGAGGAAGTGATGGTATATGTGTATATATTTCAAATGTTCTTTCACTTACAGCTGGATGTTTTTATCCTTTGTACATGTTCTTTCTGATATGTAGTGGTTTGATTCCACCAGTGTAGTTTTCAGGGGAGCATGTGGTGTACTGTGTAAAATACTATGATCCGTAAAGCACATGTATACAGTTGAGGACTTGGTTCTATAAGGTAGGGGTAGGAGATTCATCTGTGAAGACTTCTGGAAATGCAATAGCAACATGGTTTCTGGTTCCACATTGTGTGTGTAGATCCAGGGAAAACTTGCTTTTGATAAGTTGCTGTTTGATGACCTTGAAAGAAGTGGCAAATGTAGGAGAGAACTGACTGGTGTTATTCTCAAGGCAAGAAGTCTTTGCCTTGAAAAGGTGATGTGGAATTATGAGGAATGCATCATTCCTGCATTGGTCCTCTTGGCAATACCACTCTGCTAGGAAAGAGGATGGTGTCTCTAGTTCTGATAAATTGATAAGTGTAAGGCATAGAACATACCCACATCCTAACTGTGTATCATAATTAGGGAAAATAAGCTCTGTTTGGGGGGTAGGAATGATTCAGTTCATGTTTTTGAATAAACTACCTTGCAGTATCTGTAACAGAAAGAACAGTTTACTTAAAATACTGTTTCCTATTTTGTTAGAGATAAGGTTTGGCAACTCTACCAAAGGGTGTGAGTAATGAACTGTTAGTAGATAGAGACTACCTTGGGCCAGGACATGATCTTGACTTATGTCAGTTAGGAGTTGCAGGTTCAGTATTTCATAATTTTGGGAAAGATCTGTGGTTTAGTTTTGCTAGAAATTTTGGAGTTTAATTTAAGTATTGCTGTATGAAGTTCTTTATATTGCATTATGCAGGAAGTCAATTTAAATAGTTGTCCCTTAATACCATTGATACTATTGGGTTTGGGTTTTTTTTGGTTTACAGTATATTTAATTTGTATATGTGAGCAATTTAAAGTGCTTGCCTTGGATTTAGATACATAGTCTTGAGAAAACTGTCCCTTGATAACTGGGAAATCCAATTTTCATACTTCAGTAGAGGGAGTTGTAGAGCTTGAATAGCAATTTAGGTGAAGAAGAGAGGTGTAATGTTTGGAGAATACTGAAGATGTGGAGCTGTGTGGAAGGATAAGCTCCAGCAGAAATGGGAAAATAATTTTTTTTCTTTTTTGCCTGTTGGTGTCCTCATGAAATAGGGGTTAGGTGATAGAATTACGAATGAACAGAAGTGGTAGTCAGTAGTTCTGCTTCTGAGGCACAAATGCTTGTCAGTAATTGAATATTTGTTTTTATTCTGATTTGTTCTCCAAAGAAAGTGGAGAAATTGAAAAAAAAATTACTGTAAGGGGTAACATCTTCCGCATAACTAAAGTCACTCTTGGAAACAGGGTTCTTGGTTGCTTAGACACTGTTTCAATAATAGACTTAATGTATTTCCTAAAAAGTCTAAAAGATTCTCCTGTCCAGTGTGTCTTTGGGCCTTCTGTTCTGATTCATGCTGTACTATGACCTAGGCTCTGTTTAAGAGTGTGATTATTTTGTTCTTTTGTTTTTACATTTCCTGTTGTTATTGCAGGTTTCTGATCCATGTAGTTCTTTCTGGTAGTTGCCATTTTCAGTTGATCTGCATTTGTAAAACGCTTTGTTAATATGTTGTTTGCAGATGGTACAGTTGCATGTTGGGGAAGAAATGCAGTTTAGCACCATTGAAAGAGGAACTTCGAATCCAAGGGGTGAGTTTGTATATAGTCCGTGTATATCCTGTATATGTTCTATACAATATATACTGTGTTCTGATGCACGTGGGTAGTTACTACTGAATTATTTTACTGAGGTTTTATTTACAAGAAGAAACTGCAGTTCCTTGTTAGGGAAGCACTCAAAGCAGCTGGGATTTAATTATTGTAGATTCAAAGCTGATAGGTAAGTAGCACATACCATCTCCAGATTTATGTCTTTATCACATGTAGAAGCATGTCTTCGTCCTTTCTAGAACATACAGGTTTCTGCAACAGCCTTACAGGGCTGTTAAAAAAAAAAAAAAAAAAAAAAAAAAAAAATTCCAGCTCTCATTCCTCTTAGCTAATGTGAAATCTATCAGTTTGGTTGATAAAAGAAATTGTAACATTATTTAAATGGCAGCATTTTTTTGTTTGTGTTCAATTCTGGCACCAAGTAAGATCGAACCTTGTGCTACTATTGTCATGCAAGAAGGCTGTGCAAAAGACTTTTTTTATGGCTTTCTAGAGGAAGCTTAGTCTTCTCTAATTTCTGTGCAAAGAATGTGATTGTGAGATCTGTCCTTATATATAGTGGAGAGGTGAAAGAAAGAGAATGCATGCTGAAATCAACTCCCAGAAAGATGGACTACAGGCCACAGAGAATCCTTAAACTCAATGCCAAAAGCAGATGCTGAACAAGGCACCAAATTTCAATTTTATTCCCTATCCTTGAACTGTTGCACCTCAGTCTTTAGTAAAGTGAGAGAAATTCTTGCGAATCTTACATGGAAAAGCTGAGTTTTCCCTTTGTATTTTTCTTGAAATTACCAATTTCATTTTGTTCAGGTTTGTAATCGTTGTTGTAACAAAGCTGGAAATATGTTCATTGTAATGAAGCACAGCTGGGTTGTGGTTCGGGTTAGGATGCAACATAAATGTTCCAAAAAGTCCATTCATTGTTCAAACTGTCTGGACATTTGTTGTATTTATTGGAAATTTTGATAGAATTAGGAATCCAAAGGCAGGAAAAGTTCTAGCATAGGGATACCTTTTCCTCTCTCTTTTTGAAGGCATTTCTCAAAAGTAAGGGTGTGTGGTTTTTTTTTTTTTTTTTTTTCTTCTGTGCAGACCTGGAGCTTATGCTCTGGACCTGATAATTCAGAGTGAGGTGAGATGGTTGATATCTATCCTTGCTAGTATTTAGCGCATTCTCCGTACTGTACATTAATGCCTTATGGCACCCATGTGTGGAAAGGCTAGTTAATGCTAGTATTGGATCTGAGGTTTATATTTAAATGCAGTGTAAGTTGAGACTTGATTTTTTGGGGCAAAGACAGAGAAGTGTTCTGGGCATGTTTCTGCCATCTGCCGACAGGTGAGTGGCTTGGCTTCCCAGCCCTTCATTGCCTTTGTTCTGTGTTCCTTTGCTACAGCAATGGGTTTGGTATTCAAATGTGGAACAGGATCAGGTTCTGAACAAGGAGAAAGGATGTGCTTTTTGCAGAATCAGAATGCAGCTGTGTCCTGTAGGTGTGTTGGATCACTGCGCAAAAAGGGTCTTGTTGTGTGTTGCTGAACTTGAAGCTCTGAAAGGACATAGGCATGGCAGGGCAGAGATGGGAAATCCTGGGCATGGGTACCCAGCTTGGCACTGACCAGCTTCAAGTGGCCCTGACATCCATGAGCAATGTCAGAAAGAATCTCCATTTCTGTCATGAGAAAATAGCTCTACGCTGACTTTGTAATTTTTAAAAAAATGGAAAATATGTGCAGTAAACCAATGTTGTTTATTAATATGAAATGAAGTTTTGTATTTCTTCTTTGTGTAGGTTCCTAAAGTTACTCATACTGAATTCTGCCAGGGACGCACCATGAGATGGGCCCTGGCATGGAGTTTCTATGATGATGTACAAGTGCCTGTAAGTAGCTTCATTTTGGTTTGCTCGTGATTGTCTGTGCCTCTTATTTGAGAAAGGGCATAATGAGCTATAGCTGCTGTGAAACAAACTGTTCTCTTTCAGACAGGAACGTTGGATATGCTGGGCTGTATGGACAGTGGGGTTTCTTAACCGGCTGCCAGTCTGTTAGCAATTGTTACATGTGATTGGTAAATGACCTATGCTTAGGGAGGAAAAAAGAAGCCTGTGCAGGAACTTCCTCTGGGTTTCAGTTAATGTAGGGGTTGCTTGTAACACACTTCAAAGGCAATTCAGTAGTACTAAACATACGCTAAGTTTGGGGCTAGATTTGAACTTTAAGTTTCCCTCTGAGAACTCGGTAACAGAATCTATACAGTAAATTGAAACCAAACAGATACGAACATGTCTAGCTCAGACTTGCCTACGTGAATGTAAGTGGAGCTTGTTTACCTTAACTAATGTGAACTAGTTGCTTTTTTGGATCCAGAGGTACGTATACCGTAAGATAGGTATAGACAGTAACCAACCTTATAGAAGATGCAAGTAGACCTTCGGTGAACTTGGGTCAAAATGTGGGTGTTAGCATTTGACCTCTATTCCCAAGAGCAGCCACACTTTCTCAGCTCACAGAGAGCTAGTAGTTTGAAGGAACCAGTGAAGTTTTTTGCCTAACATCTGCATATAAACTCCCTCTGTCCATCAGGCTACCATTAAGTGCATGATCCTGTTGGCTGTTTTTAATCTAAAACTCTTTGGAGTGAAGTGAAACTCAGGCCACGTCAATGACTGTATAGCGGCTTACATTATACTCTTAATCCCCATGTCTTCTGAGTACAAAAGTCAACCCACTAATACTGCATAGGTTTGTAATTTTAATTTTTCTTTCTTCTAGTCTCCTCCCTCTAAAAGAAGAAAATTAGAGAAACCCCGAAAACCAATTACGTTTATGGTCTTGGCTTCTACAGTCAAAGAGTTATCCATCAAAGCTGCAGCTATGGGCTGGGATGCTGTAGAAGCTATTGCTGTGGTTAGAGCCTGGGTAGAGAAGATTCTCTCTGATCTGAAGGTACAGTATTAAGTATTATACGTTAAAACAACGTCCCACTTGAAAGCATAACTGTGAGAGGATGGTGTGAAGCTCTGCTGTTTTCTGCAATAGGTTCAGCATAAACGTGTTCCCTGTGGAAAGGACGAAGTTAGCCTGTTTGTGACTGCCATTGAAAACTCCTGGATTCATCTGAGGAGAAAGAAACGAGAGAGAGTAAGGCAATTACGAGAACTTCCGCGAGCTTCTGAAGATACTCTGCAAGCAATGGAAGAAGAAAAAAACAGTCAGAGTGTGAGCAACAATTTGGACTGTGAAAACCCCAAGACTGAAGACTCTGAAATGGGGTCTGTGGAACCTGGTGAGGATGTTCACTTGACCACAGGTGGCAAACTAACGGAAGAATCTGCTGCCAAAGAAGAACACAGAGAGCACGTGAAGGAGGAGGAGACAGAAGCAAAGCAGGCAGAAACGTCCCTTGGCAAAGGTTCCAGTAATGCAAAGGAGGAACCTTGCCCTTCAGAGGAAGCTAGCAATCTGGCAGCTGAAAAAGAACAATGTCCGAAAGAAACTAGTAGATGTTTCCTCTTTAAGTGTTTAATGAATGTGAAGAAAGAAGGAAATGATGTATTAGTAGAAATGCACTGGGTTGAAGGACAGAACAGAGACTTGATGAACCAGCTGTGCACATATGTACGGAACCAAATTCTTCGGCTGGTTGCTAGTTAGCCCTTTTTCCTACTTTGGTAAAGTAAGACAGTCCTTAAATTTTGTAAACTATTTTTAATGGATTAAAGTTTTCAGCTAGCAAACCCTGTTTTTTTTCCCTTAGAGTAAATGAATAAAGTGGAGATTAAAGTCCCCTATAATATTTTAAATAGCTTTTTCAAAGCTGCAAGGAGTACATGAAGTGTACTTCATTGGACATGAAGTGATGGTGAAGTACTAGATCTTGTGCTGCAGTTGTAAAACTACATGTTAAAGTGAAACATGTCTATGCTGTGAGCATTTCAAATATCAACAGTGCTTATTCTGGTCTTTTTTCTGGTGCAATAGAATTATATATTGTAGAAATCTTTACTGAAGTATTTTCTTCACAATATTTTTTCAATAATAATGCAGGAAATTACTAGTCTGCTGTGGGAATTGTTTTCTGCAGCAAGGAGTCTTCAACTAAGGGTTTAAGTATGCCTCTCCCCTTTAATGCATTTCACCTTTGGTGAGATGGGATACATCCTCTAAGTGTCAATTCATTAAAATAACCGCTGTAGAAGATCAGCGTGTTGTACTTTTCTGGTGCTTGGGCTTTGAAATACAGAAGAGCCTACTATTAGCATCTGGTTTTGTAAACTTTGTCGTAACAACAAAACAAGTTTTTTGAGCTGCTTGGTTTAAAGAGGATTTAACTATGCTGACTGTCCCATTAGACCATTCCTTATGCTAATTCAAATATAATTGTCTGAAATGACAGCAGTATTCTTAAAGGATTTTGCTTCCATTTAATCTTAAGAGATTGCTTTAGTGACAGGAATGAGAGCACATACTCATCTTTGTGGGCCAGAAATTCCTTATGCAGGACAAAGATGGGTGCAGAAGCTTCAGACTCTTGCGAAGGAAGACAACTGGAAAGAAGGCTGTTGCTTCCACACCTGATTCCCTGGTCCTTTTTACCACCAGCTGTTTCCCCGGGGTTTCAGGGCCAGTGACCTGCGAGAAGAGAGGCTGAGGGACTTGGGTGCCTCAGAGAGGGGGTGTGTATGTGTTTCAGATCGTGAGTGGTGGTACTCTTTCACATGAACTCAGCCTCCCAAGCTGTGATCCATTTCTCTGTAGAGATCTACAGAACACAGAGAGAAAGTTTTTCTGAGTGTGGAGCGTGTGTACATGCGTTACCCAAAGTAAAAGATGCGCTCCTGGTGGACAGAAGGAAATACTCTGTGTTCGTGCTACTGGAACCACTTTGAGCATTCAGCCTTAGTTGTCAAGATTTCTGGGAAGATGAGTATGTTTTCTTACGTTAAAAGCAACTTGGAAAAGCCTTAGTTTTTCCCCCTCTATTGTTAACTGTCGCATATCGTGCTGCTTAGCACTTCTGCAGGTGATGGACAAAGACTTGTGGGTTTTGGGTATGGCAGGTTTTTCACAGAACTGCTTCTGATGCTCATGTCCCTGGGGAGAGATGAGACTAACCCTACTCTGTTAGACTCTGAAGAGGTTATTTTGGCTAGCTGAGCCACTAAAAACAGAAAGCGAGGCTGTTTGTCCTTTGTGCTGTTCCCTGTTTATCATTTCAGTCTGTCTTTCTGCAAGGTAAGCCTGTGTGCTTGTGGCACGCTCGTTTTGCTGAAGCAGACTGCATTATGTTGCTGCAGTAATTACCTGTCTTTCACCTGTACAACATGAATAACGTTTAAACAAACAAAGCACTGTTTAAACAAAGCACTGTTTAAACAAAGCACTGTTTAAACAAAGCTGCATACTTTTACAAAAGAAAACTGGTAGTCTGTGATTTGGATGACTTGTTTTAGAAGTTCAAACGTTGTCTAGGCATTTTATTCAAAACAAATGCTTTGACTAAGGTGAGCGTGGCGCTTGGAAAGCTAATCCCGTCTTGGTAAAGAATAGCAATTAAAAATTTTGATTGGCGTGTAGTTGCAATCCCGGGGGAGTTTTAAGTTAGGCGGGCGGGCGGGCTGCCTGACCAGCACCGTTTGCTGCGCAAACACCCTCCCCGCCTCGAGCAC